ATTATGTTTTTTTTTTTTTTTTTATTTTATTATATTTAAATTTTTTTTTTTTTTTTTGTAGACAAATTTTTTTTTTTGTTAATTTAATTTTTGTTAAATAAATTTAATATTTTGTAGTGCCAAAATGGCTTGAATGTCGTAGAGTAGATAGAATGTAGCTAAAGAAATATTTAAATGTGTATATGAACCAAATATATAATATATTTTACAATATGCAAAAGGAGCAACAAGATTTATGAAATTTTTGTGTGAGCTAAAAAAAGCAAGTGAGACTCCTCTAGGTGAGGCTAGTCGACTGGGAGATACCCTGTACCCCGCAATGAACCCATATGCCAATCAATATATATATATATATTTTTTTTATTTAATATATAATATTAATAATTATAATAATATAATATATATTATATAAAAATAAATAAATATTTAACAATAATAATTATAATAATATAATATATTTTGTAAAAATAAATAAATATTTAACAATAATAATTGTAATAATAATATAATACATTTAATATTAATAATTACATATTTAATAATGATATGATACATATGTTATAACAAATTCTACACAAAATATGTATGTGTGTACACAGTAGTAGTAGTCGTAGTGTTGCAAAATGTCGTGTAGAGTAGTTACAATATAATAATAAATAACACATAATGATATTCAATATATATTTATATATGCATTTACACATATAGATTGCAGTAAAATTACGAGAAAAAAAACAAGTGTTGTAAAATGTTGTGAAATTCAAAAATAATTATCACACAAATTAATACAAAGCCAACAGATTCAATGGCAAATATGCAAAGCTCATCTATATACACATCATATATTATATATATACATATATGTATATCATGTATGTATGTATCCATCTGTGATGTCTGATGGAACATTCTTCAATTGCTTGCGCCCTTAGCTCTGGGCGCAGCTATAAAATTTCATTTCACTTTCCAAAAATATTTCATCTTCAATTGCAAAAATATTTTACTGTTGCATACTTTTATCGGAGGGTGTGATGCGTATGGCGGATGGCGGATGGTTGGGTGATGGGTTACGGAGAGTGAGGGGGGCGGGGCGGGGCGGGGCGGTGCGCTTGGAGTTGCTGTTGGGGAAAACATTGAAATGTTTCACACAATTGAAAATTTTCAAGTCCGCGAATTGTGCGAGTGTTGAATTACCGTTCATGAGTGTGTGTGTGTGTGTGCGTGTGTGTGTGTGTGTGTGGGCGTGGCATGTGTGCTACTTAACGCCTACACTTGATTGTTGTTTATATCATTGTTGTTGTTGTTGCTTAAAGTTGTTTGCATAAATAATTTCTATGCATACAAATACACAGACACCCTCATAAGTGTGTGTGAGTGTGTGTGTGTGTGTGTGTGTGTGTATGGGTTGGAGGCAACGCATCAAAATTAATGATATTTTAATGTAAAAACAATTCCAGCCACTTAAGCTCCATTCATACCCATTGTGTGTGCACGTGTGTGTGTGTGTGTGTGTGTGCACGTGTGTGTGTGTGTGTGTGTGTGTGTGCGTATTACAATTGTGCAGCCAAAGGCCGTGACGTAGTTGGCATGTTGTCCATGGAAATTGAGCTGCGGCAACAATGCGGCCAAATCCCACATAGCAACAACAATAAGCCGCCAACAATGGCAGAAAACATGCTCGACTAGCCAATACCCTGTAGGGCAGAATAACCAAGTGTAATTACAGTTCATATCAATGGAAAGAGATGGGGGATGAGAGAGCAAGGCAGGAGCTACATGGAGTCCTGTCAAGCTATACGCCCCTTTTCTGGCTTATTTCACAGGGTATTCAGCACTAATTCCATTGCTTGAAGTTGCTCTTTAAAAGGTTCTGTGCAGCTCTCTCTCTCTGCTTCTAAATAAAAGCTTACTACAGTGCCTCAAAAATCAAATTATATATTCACATCTCTGTTTCTTACTTGAATACATATACATATATATTTATATATACATATATACATATATATATATACATATATCTCTTCTTCTTTTTATTCTCTTCTACATTTCTCGTTCTGTAATTCTTTGTTCTCATTTTCTATCAGGCGATGCGGCCTTTGTTATCTAACTCTGTGTTTCACAGATGGAGATAGAGGTAGAGCGAGAGAGATGGAGAGAGAGAGAGAGAGAGAGAGCGAGGGAGGGGTATATAGAGTGAAGGAGCCAAAATGTCTGAAAAGTAAAAGCTTGTAATGTCAAATTGAAGCATGTTAAGTATCTGCCATTGTGCTGCATTATTTGAAAACAAATTCCATTTGCTTATGCGAATCGAATGTGTGCGGAACCAGTTCGCCGGAACGTAATTACATGATAAAGGAAGCGAAGCAATAATTAAGTTGAATGAGTTCTAGCATTCATAATTGAGTTGGAGCACAAAGATATATACCATACAGAGTACATATATATGTAGAAATATTAAATTTTTGAACTAGTTCCATTTTGGTGAGTTGAGTAAATTACTTAAGGCGCCTTAGCAACCTGCATAGCATTAACTAGTAATGATAAAACTAATCGAGCATCAGTCAATAGTTCAATTTGAAAGCGTAGCTCTCACTCATTTATGGCAACTGGTTCAAAAGAACTTTTAAGTGAATAATAATAAAAATGAGATTGTACTATAATTTACTATACTTTATTTGATTGCTTGAAATGTAGGTGCAAATTGGTAAACTAGTTCACAGAGTGGTTCATGAACTAGTTCATTGAGTGAACCATGTGTACTTCAGTTCCTTGGGTGATAGTAACTAATACAAACTTAATGATTTCATGAATCTCATTTCGACATTCCACAATATAAGTTCGCGAACTAGTTCATTATGTAGGTCACTAACTGGAAAGCATGCACAAATTTGATTTATAATACTCGAATTTCATTTGCATTACATTGCATGATTTTCATGTTTATGACTGGTTCATGAACTAGTTCCAATTCTAGACTTCACTTTCACTTCGCCTTTGAATCGTCAGTCAAAATGAAATATTTGTGTTTAACACAAAGTGATGCAAATGCTCTGTGCAACTGGTTCCGAGAGACTAGTTCACGTCAGCTGCCATTTGTTGCCATACAGACGCATATTATGTAGCACGAACTGTTCCCGGAACTGCTTCGCATATCAAAGCAAACGCGAATCGTGTTCAGTTTAATGAAATTGGAAGTGAATCTGGATTCCCTTTTACTTGGCGTCGCTGGCTCAATGAACTCAACAACTTGGCCATAAGTGTAATTAAATTTACGCATGCGACCTGTTGAACCAGCTCCAGCTCCAGCTCCGACTCTGCCTCAGCTTCTTCTTCTTCTTCAATGTTTTGATGAAGACGAAATCAAAGCTGAGGCTCAAGACAACGGCACAAACCAACAATCTGATGACTGCCAGAGGGGGGCGGGTCGTGGCGTGGGCGTGTCAATAGGCATTAGGGCAACCAGTCACTAAGCTCTCATGCTGTCTCTGCCTATGTGTGCGTGCATGCGTGCGTACATACGCATGTGTGTGTGTGTGTGTTCGTCTGTCTCTGGAGACTTAACGCTAATTCACTTTTACGCGACTAACAAAATTAATTGCAGACATTTGCCAATCATACGTATAACACACACACATGACACACACACACACACACACACACACACACACACGCACACTTACAGCCATCACACACACACGCAAACGGCAGATCTTATCCTGTTTCACGCCTCGCTCGCAATTGCCAACAAATTTGCCAAGTTTTACGTGCGTGCTCCGTTTTGCACCTGCAACTGCTACAGCCGCCACGCCCCCACACCCGCCCCCGCCGCAACTGAGTGGCACCGTGATTTATTTAGTCTTATTGCGGCACAACTTAGCTGCAGACATGCTCGTGAGCAACAATCGCTGGCCATCATCATTCGAAATGCGCATAAATTACGCACACGATGCCAATGGCAATGCCAATGCCAATGCCACCTGCACTCAGGTGAGCCACAAAGGTGAGCCGAGCTGCCCAAAGGAGTCCGAAGGAGCCCAAAGGAGGGCTCATTCAGGCGTCTAATCGCTATGATTCAATTAGTTGTCCGTTCGGCCCGTCTGGCCAGCTCTGCGAAAATCAATGGAAAAAATTCCAGCTGGAATTGCTGGCCGTATAAGAGTGTGTATAAGATGAAGTATAAGTGCCTGTAATTTGCTTAAGTGCGTTAATTGCAGTGCAAAAGGATATCATCTGAAGTGAGCTGAATCATCTGAAGTGAGGGTGAGTCATTGTTCACATTGGAACTAGTTCCATGGAGCCAGATGGTGGATAAGATGGAGTATAAGTGCCTGTAATTTGCTTAAGTGCGTTAATTGCAGTGCAAAAGGATATCATCTGAATTGAGCTGAATCATCTGAAGTGAGGGTGAGTCATTGTTCACATTGTAACTAGTTCCATGCAGCCAAATGGTGGATAAGATGGAGTATAAGTGCCTGTAATTTGCTTAAGTGCGTTAATTGTAGTGCAAAAGGATATCATCTGAAGTGAGCTGAATCATCTGAAGTGAGGGTGTCATTGTTCACATTGGAACTAGTTCCAAGCAGCAAGATTGTAAATATGATGGATGCCTGTAATTTGCGTTGATTATGAATATCATCTGAAATGCAAATGGATATCATCTGAAGTGAGCTAAGATGAACTATTGTTCTTATTGGAACTAGTTCCGAAAAATAACGAATTGTTGCAATAGAGTTTATCTGATGGTATCTGCAGATGTTATCCTTACTCAGCTCAAAGATTAATCACTGTTCATTTCGGAACTAGTTCCAACAACCTTAAGTCACTTTTTATTGCAGTAGTGCTTAACTGTCTTCATCAGCAGAAATGGTTTCTGTCAGTGGTTCACTTTGGAACTAGCTCCCTAAAGAAACAGATTGCATAACACCTACGCCTTTCACAGTTCAACTGTTTCGATGTCTAGAGATATTCCAGATACAAGAGTTTATTATTATATATTATACGTTGCCTCTCTCTGCCGTTGACGCCGCTGTCGCTCCTTCTCCTCCATATAGGGTATTATGCATCCCTTCGTGGGCAGAATCACGATCACGGGCAGCACTTTCTTACACCTGCCCAAGACGTGATGCAATCGCTTGGCGGTCGGATAGTCGATCAGTATGAGTCCAATACAAGGGCGTCTATACAGGAGGTAAAAGAAATTCTCCACTTCATCGAGGGTAGTGTCTGAATGAAATACAAATTTAGATAGATAGGTAGATGGACAGATAGAATGGGCGCAGATATTACGAACCACGATCAACTATAAGGTAGTTGCGAAAGTTCTCACGACAATAACCGACGCCAGTGAGCAATAGGCCTATAGTAACTTCCTGTAAGAGACGATGGATATGGCTAAGAGCCGTTGGAATAGTTGGTGAAATTATCTAATTATCTTAGTGATGGTATATTCTATATATCTGTATTCCAATATAGAGTTACGATCCCTAGAATAGTTATGATGTTCTTTGGATGGCAAAGCATATCTAAATTATTATAGAAGTCTTTAGATCTGATATATGCACCTAGACTTATGTTAAGATATCTATATGATGTACCATGTGAGATAATATGGAATATATGGCAACAGTATTAAGGGCATTCCATTATTTAAGTATTCCACATCGATGCCATGCATCATACATAATCATAATCTTGACATTATATATGGAGATCCCGCAGGAGAGATCTGGGAACCGTGTTAACTTACTGCATCGGCTATCACACCAAAGCGTATCATATTATGATCTTCGTTTTCACCGGGGGCCTCAGCTTCCTCCTCCTCCGACTCCTCTTCCTCTGTCTCAATGGCAGATAACTTATTTAATTTCGTACTCATTGTATCTGGATAAAAATATTCCCTATGTTTTGTGGACGAACTGAATTCAACAACTGACAATCGGGTTACTTTGTTTCGTCTCCCTCTGATTTGTATGTGTGTGTGTGTGTGTGTTTTTTTTTTTATGACTTTTTAATGAGTTTCCAATAAATGGCAGTTGTTATTCAGCCCCAAGTCAGGCAAAGCCAACCCTGCTTAGCTACACCCCATACACACACACACACACGCACACACACACATACAGCCCTGCAAGTCAGCCCGAAATTGCGTAGCTTAAGCTTTAAGCCATGAGCTAAAACTGTCGAATGGAGCTGGAACTGGAACTGAGCACGATAGCTGGAGCTGGAGCTGTTGCCAGTCGCGACTCGAGTGCCAAAATTAGTTTTCTTTCCATTATTTTGCATTTTTTATTTTTTTAATTATTAAACCTCGGCATCGACGTCGACGTCAGCATCGACCACGGCCTCGAGCTGGGCCCAAAATGAAAATTCAATTATGACATGAGTTTACAGATTTAGTTAGCTGCTTGAAGGGATCTCGAGTCGGCATCTTTGTGGCCACTTTTAGAAAATTTATTAACTGAGACTTAACTTCAAATTCGTTTACTTTGCTTCTTCTTGTACTTTTCGTTTTCTTGTTTTTTTTTTTTTTTTTCGTTTTCCCAGTTTATTGAACTCAATTCAATGTTTGCCCCAACGGACTCAGCTCCCAATGGCAAGCACTTGAGTGCTCGTTGCCCTTCGATTACCTGATATACTTACAAGTTAACATTCATTTAACATGCTGTTAGCTGAGCCAACATATTCGTTTCGGGTAGGGAATCTTAATATCCATATGTGATATGTGTATTCCAAATATCTATAACTCTTAGGCTTACGAGTGTTACTAGCAATAAATTTGTATGTTAACATATTTATGTTAGATTTTGTTGCAGCTGTTAATCAACTGTCAAATTCTTATATATGGGAAAGACAATTTCATATCCATGTTTTCGGTATAAGGAAACATATTTTTATTTATGATGCTGTATGTTGTCAATTTATACACCCTAAATACATGTGCTAGTGGGTATATTGACCTGATGGACTTGTAAGACCCACTGTTAATTTTCTTTCCGTCCGTCTTTCCACGGCTTCACCACTCTTAATATGTATTCTGATGGATCTTAAAGTAATGCATCCACCCCTTCGATGTTTCGAAATGCCCTTAAGGCTGTCTTAAAGTCTGTGTAACTATCGCGCTGTGACTCTAGCGAGCTAAGGCGAGGCGCTGTTGGGGGGCTGCTTGGGACGGTTGCATTAGATGAAAGGCCGTAAGTATCAGTTGCTGCCTCAGAGAATCGAGAAACTCTTCAATCACAGAATCTATAAATAGCCCGGCCTCGGCTGCCTGCTTATTAGGTAAGAACTTTGATGGCGACTGTCAGACGTCTGATTAATCTCACCGCACCAAAAGCGTACAATCAAGCTGCCCAACGACTTCAGCTGCGCTGCTGATGGAGACTGAGATAGGCAGCTGACAACTGGCAACAGGCAGTCAAAGTTCAAATTGGTTTTGTTTTTCCTCTCTCTCTTTCTCTTTCATTCTCTCTTTTTTTTTTTTTTTGCTTTGGCAACTCGACAAGTGACATAAACAAGTTAAACAGCAGGGACAGGAAGCGGACGCGAGAGAGAGAGAGAGTTTAAGTTTGTATTTCCAATTTTATTGATACGTCTGCCAAGTAAATTCATTAGTTGATAAGATATAACTGCGGTTGTCGGACTCTTTGAGACACTTTGTATTGGTATAAAGGCAAAATTTATAAATGTTTTCATTTATTTGGTGTATTCCAAACTATTTACCGAATTATGTAGTCTTAACTGCTTTTATAGCTGAGTTCCTTGAGGCTAGCTTTTCATTTAGAAAGACGATAGTGGAGGTAGTGTAATATGCATATCTATTAGGCCACATTGATTCGAATATACAAATTTCTATTAATCTATTCGCTAGAGGTCCTGAGTTCATTGAGGTCAGCCAGCTTTTGTAAGAGATGAGCAGGTGTATCTGTAATATGTTCATGTCTTAAGAGAAGTGTAACTTGTATACCAATTCTGATTGGATCTAAATGTCCCACGTCCTAAGTTCCTTGAGGTCAGCTTGGTTTTGTGAGAGACAATTAGGTATTCTTATTAAATTGATATTTGTTGGCCATATATTTTCCATATTTCAATTTGTAATGGCCTAGCTGTTGGAGGTCCTGAGTTACTTGAGGTCAGCTTGCTCCACATAAATTGTATGTGTCATCTACAAATTTTCTAAGCTTTAGTTGCCATAGATCCTATGCTAAAATGTGAGTCGTTAGTTCGTTTACATTGAATAATCTTCTTATATTATAATTCTACAGTTCTCATAGCAATGCGTTTTGAGATAGCTGCTATAGTTACCGAGTTTTCTCAGATTTGCAACAACTTTTTGGCATCCCACGCAGCGATAGACGCTCTCCCTCTCTCTCCATTTCCCGTTCTCTTTTCGTTTACTCCAACTATCTTTAATACATATATGCGAAAAGAAAGGAAAAGCAGAAAAGGGAAATAAGACATTGAAAGCCAAATTGACAGACGCCATCGGGGTTTTGACTTTGACCCTGGATGGGGTAGACGTAGTGGGTGACGGGGGAGTGGAGCGGGCAGTAGGCGTGGCAGGTGAGCTGACAGCAATGCTTGGATATGAAAGTTATCTGGATTTCGATTTCAATTTGTAGCAAGCAGATCTCGAGAGCTAAACAATACATGAAAATGCCAAAGGACTCAACGATTCCGTTATGGCTGTGGCAACTTAAAGGGTTGTTCTATCTGCCACAAAATGTGGCAACCCGTTGTTGTTGTTGCTGAAATGAAATGAAACGAACCGAAAGCCAGGCACACGCACAGTCAGACAGACGGTAAAATTATTATGTTCAAAGTGAATATTACGTTAACCGTAACATGGGTCTACCAAGCCGCCACACCGACAGAGAGCAAGAGAGAGAGAGAGAGAGAGAGAGAGAGACGCTGTGGTTGCAGACAGGAAGGCAGTTAAAAGTGAAAACATGCGGCAAATTGTAGTTAAATATTAAGTGCGTGTCCTATTGAAGGAATATTATGATTATTTTCCCGCATCTGGCTAATTCGCTTTAGGGCGTACCCAATTGTGGGCGACGGAGGCGGGGGCGTGGCGGTTGCTATATAAGCTCGTTGGCAATAGTTACAATGCTGGAGCATATATAAAAACTATTTGAAGTAGCATCAAAGAGATTTATGCAATGAGTAGAAGCAGAATGAGAGAGGGAGAGACTAGAGGTGGGACACGGGCAGAGAAATAGAGTATATAGAGAGAGAGAGAGACCGCATGAAAAAGAGTAGAAAGTGTTGAGAGACAGCTGAAAGGGGGCAGAAAGATGAGAGAGAGAGAGAGTTATAGGAGAATTATAGAAAGGGAGACTCGCAGAGTGAGAGACAAAGAGAATAAGGCAGTGAAAATCAGAGAGGGAGCAGTAAGAGAGAATACGAGATAAATGTGGGGGAGACAGAAAAAGAGAGAGAGAGATGTGAAAGAGCGGGAGAGAAAAAGTGTTATGCATATATGTATAGAGAGAGAGAATGAGAATAATAATTAGAGAGGAAAGGGAAAGGCAGAACGTAGAATGAAAAGAGATTCGTAGAGCTAAACATAGAGTGAAAAAGAATATAAAGAGAGAGAGAGAGAGAGGGAGAGAGAGAGAGAGACAGAGAGATAGACTAAAAAAATAAATGTTATATGAAAGTAGAACGGCAGAAAGAGTGAGAAACGAGATAAAATTAAAAAGTGAAGAAAGGCAGCAACGAAAGGAAATAGAGTAATTGAAATGGAGAAGGCTTAAAAGAAAATACAGAATATAGACCGCATACAAAGAGAGGCAAAAAGAGAGAGAGAGAGAGAGACAAGAGAAAAAGAGAAAGAGATAAATATGTTCATATATGGCGACATCTGCTGTTAGATTTTGACTCCCCATAGCGTCGCTCAGCTCTAATATGCTCTACAAACAAAGTTCCTCGCAAACAACTTGTCTTTTCGCAATGATTTGCATTTATAGGGTAGCTGTTAGTCGGATAAACCAAGTCAATATACTGAGCATCGACTTCAAAGAACTACCTCGAGTCTTGCTTTAAGCTCCGATTGCTTCACTTATTGAATCCTGCACATTTATAGGGTAACTGCTAGTCGAGCAGGCGCTCTGCTCTCACATTCGTTTGGTCCATTTGTGAATGCAAAATTCCACCATTTTCCCAGTTGCGCTTCCTTTTCTTATTTCGTGCTGTTGCTGCTGGTTAATCCAGCTCCTGCAACATGTAGGTGCGCCCCCACATGCTGCCACGCCCCCTACACCACCAGCGGCGAAATGGTTGAGCATGAAAAGTGCTTTGCCACTGAGCCCCGAGCACTGCAGGCATCAGACAGCTGCAACTAGTAAAGCCTTAAAGGGCAGCCAACACACAATACGAATTGTCCTTTTCACTCTGTCCCTGTGTGTGTGTGTGTGTGTGCGCTTGTGTGTGCGTTTGTGTGTGGGTCAGTTGTGGGTGCGGCTTTAATAACAGCGTAAATTGCGTAAGCTACCAACAATCATTAATAACTTTTCTGCACCTGAACGCAACCAAAAACAGAAGCTGCCAAAGCTGTGGGCGGTCGAAACAACAAAAGAGCAAGAGGGAGAAAGTGAGTGGGTGAGAGGGGGGGGGGGGGGGGGGGGGGGGGGAGAGGGAGAGGGAGGGAGAGAGCATGAAGTGATGTGGGGCAGCCCAATGTGCGTATGGTCGATTTTATTGTGGTAAAAACAACATGTGTATGTGCATGTGTGTGTGTGTGTGTATGGCTGAGTGTGTGTGTGTGTGTGTGTCACAATTGTTTGCCTTTTGCCGTCAGCTGCTACAGACACACACACACATACACACATGCATTTACAGGCACAGCTTGACATGAGCAATTGTATATGCTGTGTGAATACCCTAGATATGCTGGCTGATGAGGTATACAAGACTGTTGATATGACACAGATGTA